ATTGACGCGATCACCTCATCGTTATTTCGGATGTTCCAACTGAAAAGTGGGAACCATTTTGGTAAGTGATAACGATAGCAAAGAGCCATCACTTACGTGTTTGTATGTCCTAATAGTTCCTTCGGGTAATGGCTCGATCTTCGACCAGTCCACGTGAGTTTTGGCTCGGAGAAATCGAGCAAACAGATTTCGGAATCCTGATAACTCTTTTTGATTTTTCTGAAAAAAAATCGATTTAGGTTGGTCTCAAAAAGTCGCCTACACACTACTACACCCCTAAGTAGATTCACGAAACAAGGGCAGTACTTTTAGCCTTCAAATGATGCATCCGAAACCTTGCCGAAAGCCGAAAAGACGACGAGGCATGGAAGGAAAAAGGAGAAGAGCAAAAAAAAGAAACCAGAGATAAACAACAACTAGCTGATCAACGAGAGAAAACCTAAGGGAAAGAAGCTGCAAATAAAACAAAAACCAATAATGACTACTGCGCGATGTTTCCTCTATTTTCGACGACTCATGTTAGTGGTGCGGACTTAATGGCACATCTTGCACCAATAGGGTCCATGAGCTACTTAACTGGATCCTTCAACCGCCTCGCTTTGATGCTCTTGTCTGCGCTATCTCGCCTAAACAGCGGAGCGGGCCATGGTCATTGTGTTCTCAGGGTACCGGACAGGAGGCCCGTCGCGAGGCATGAAAGCAGAGACGCAGACAGATCGGTGGGCGAGTCGCAGCGTGTGCTGTGCTATGTGGTTATGTCCGATGTAGGACGTGCGATGGTGCATCCTATTTGAATTGACGCGAAATCACTACGGTACGTGCTGCAACTCTTCCACGCTTACCCGTTTGCGTCTCTGCCTTCTTGCCGCTCAACGGGCCTCCTGTCGGGTACTCGTGATCCCACACTCTCAAACTTTTGCCTGACTGAAAATGGTTCACTTACCCCAGAGTGTCTCCCCCTTCCCTCCAAGAGTTAGCCTCAGGGAACTGACTCTCCACTTTAGGATTTGTAGCCGAGCCAGGCGCTGTTTCCTAATCGCCTGCGCTCTAGCTATTCGCAGCAGAGAACTAGGAAGTAGTAGCCGCGTAGCATAAGATAACATTAAAACATAAAAAACGAGGGCAGTATCCTGAGAAGCCAAAAAGTCCGCAATCACGACACGTACTGTAACAGGAAACGGCAATTATGTACCTCTAATTCTTCTGCAGTTGAAGTGTTGAGGAGTTTGGCCAATTCATGTTCCAACGCTCCCAAACGTCTCCTTTTTCGTTGACGTCTTCCATTCTTCGGAGCTCTAGAATAGCAATTTCGAAGTCGAAATCGTATAACTTCGTAATCACTTTAACTTTTTAAATTTGATTAATATTCGAAATAAAATATTAATAGCGATGGTATTAAAAATAGAACCAATTGCTCAGTTCCCACACATAGTAATTGTGAAATTCGATCTTTTGGACAATCCAGGTAAACAGAGGCGTTTCAAGCTAAACGGCCTCCCCGTAATTTTCAATTATTCATTTAAAAAAACGATTGCCATTCCGTGGTAGTTACCAGCGGTAATTCAGTGGTAATGGTTGATAATGAATGATATCAAACAATAGAAAATGGTAGTTTCCTCAAGAGAAAAGCGTGTGTTTTTTGCTGTGCTTGCCTCGGAAACTCAGACGATGGATGATAGAGCGCTGGCATAGCAGCGAAGAAATTTTATAAAAAAATTCCGAATTCAAAAATAAATTAAAGTTAAGAAAGCAAAAAAACGCAAGTACCATATAAGCATTTAATCCAAGAATTTGTTAAGTTAAATTGAAGAGTTTTCTCATCAGAAAGTACCTACACTGAGAGCGAGAATGGGTGAAATCACTCCAACTGACCAGCTTGGGACCCACCAACCCACTAACCGTTTCTCACCTTTTTGTGCAGTTCAGAATCCTGTGAGATCAGCCTAGCCAACGGATTCGGTACCATTTCAAATCTTCAACAAAAACGTTCTCATGTACGAGTTTGGCAGTGGCCAGCGATTCGACAAGAAGTATCATGGGAAATTCGATCAAAGCAACGCGAGTTTCATTTATGCATAATAGTTAGTGAAATAATATTGTTAGTAAGTACGTGAAGTATGATATTTAATTCTACTACAATCCTTTTCAGAAAACCACTTCGAAAACCGTGCCAAAAAGGGTTACTGTAGCAACGCGCGGGGACCCGCGGAATCTCCTTGCTCGATTAAGAAAGGGTAAATGGACCAGAAAATCTCAAGGCGAAGGGCGAGTTTAAACTTATTGGTAGTAGTGAAAGGCGAATTTAGATTTAATCATTACATAAGAAGATCGAGTAATGAATGGGCTTAGAATATTTCCACATTTTTGTATTGCATTAATGATAAGTAGCATTGTTTATTACTGGCATTAACTTCCAGAAGAAAAGAAACATTCATCCAAGTAACCGCTCGTTTTTCAGAGACGAAAGAACGGAGGATAAAAAAACTGGTTTGAAGACATAGTACATCACGATAATGTGAAGGAGGCCGGCCATCAATAAAATTTGTGGTGGATCCACTCCCATGTTAAACCTCCCGGAAGGGATTTCATATGATCCCTATAAGGTCCGCGTTATAGAGTAACCATGAAATATCTGCAGTTCCCACAAGCACCTCCCCTCTCAAAGTCTGTGGGTCGAGAAGAACAGGGAACTAGAGCACTGCCAGCACATACTAATCCTCCTATAAATACAAGGCCGGTGCCACTCTCAGCAGATACGACCTCATTTTGAAAATCACAAATATGATCCCCTAACTGAACTTAGCTAATGACCACTGACATGAGAGGGGTTCAAATAATAAAGCAACAGATGCAATGTCAGTTTGGCTGTGGAGTCAGAGATAAAAAACTATCCAAAACGCCCTGAATAAGGATCCCTTCCCGTGACGAAAAGAACAAGGGAATAGAGAAGGAGAAGCAGATTAAGTGAACTGCTACACGGCATTTCGGCCCAAAGCCGCATTCCCTCAATTGCCACAATGCCTACTTCGATCATCTCTTCTGGTGCCAAACCCTTTTTTGGCATCCAGGAGAAGATCAACCATCCATTGTGCCAAGTTCGGCGGACAAGAGGGCTGATCGGAAAAAGAGGGAGTTGAAAATTTTGGATAGCAGGGGTCATATTTCTGGTTTTTGCAACTCGTCACTTGGATCATAGAATAAAGCCGATAGAAGTTAATGGGTGACCGACCAGCAGTGAAGAAAAGAACGAACCCTGCACGCGCAGGACTTGACGGGAGTAGGACCAAGACCCACACAACTGTCTGTCACTCCCTCAAACCGATTCCCCAATCACTTTCGAAGACAGGTCAGAGAATGAACGTAAGAGATCAAACGACAATCTAAAGGAGGTCTAAAAAAGAATGCCAACAGATGAGGCGCCGAAACCAAGCGGTTAGTGTTCACTGCCCAGGTATAGCGAAAGGATGGGTATAGAATTACGGATGTTTGCGCTATGAGGAGAGCGCGGATATCCTTTCTCTCGATAGCCCATCGTAAACTATCAGGGAGAAAACACGAACTGGAAGACCCCAGGCGCGACCGCTTGCCGCCAATGGGAATGATCTTTGGCTAATTTCTCTACATTACAGCTTACTATTTCATGGACTTACCATACCAGAACTGAAGATAGCGCGCACTTGCAGCATGGCAGCGGCGATGTGGCAGCTGCCATGTTCGGCAATGTGACAAGAGCGATGTTATTTGAATACCAATCAAAACATATTGGATATTGACCGTTTTCAATTGGACGACGGCACGTACTTGGACCGAAAAGGCCATCAGCAACGAAAAGGCCACCAGCCACAGCCAGCTGATGGCCGTCGGACTGACCTCTTTCAATGTGAGTAGACGAGCTCGTGTACGCATAGCCGCTTGTTTCTCGAATACCATCTTCAGTAATGGGACGGGGTGACCAGAAACGTTGAAAGAGACGGGTTAAGTTGTGGACCAATGTGGGCCAATTGATAAGCGCGCTCAGGACGTCAAGTTGCAAGACGGTCGATTATAAAGGCGGGTCGGGGCACATTGAGATAGGCGAAAACAGCATCGCATGGGTATACGAGATTGTTACGATACGACGGTCAACAATACGCGACACTTTGTGTCACCCTGAATCAGGTTCTTGGACTGTTCGGGCAAATAATGTTCAAGAAATAGTGACAGAACTTCACGAGCTAATGAAAAAGCACAATGATAATGCAAGTATAATGCGTGCGCACCCACAAAGTTCAAAAGGTTCTCCTCACCTTCATTTAAGGGGGAAACAAAAGGAACACGACATCTCAATAATTTTGGGCTCAACTTTCCCACCAAGTACTGTAGAACGCCTATCGTGGTTGGGGAAGGAAAGCAAATGCGCAGGCAGGGTCAACCGTCACGTTGGACCAATTCCGAAAATTTTACGACCCCCTCCCCTTCTAGAGGGCCCTTATACGACCCCTCCCCCCAAAAAAACAACCCTAATACGCTCTCCGTTCCACAAAAAATCATCCCCTCCCTTACTGTAACATTGACGCTACCTCACGAAATACGACCCCCTCTTTTCCACCCCCAAATACGACCCCCCATCCTCGTTGGACTTTGTCCAACGGACGGTTGACCCCTGTGCCGCAGGTCCCTTTTGCAGAGTTCCGCGGAGGAGCTGATCACCGCGTCATAACTCAGGCTAAGGAACCATACCAACAAAAAAGAGGTGAAAAAGTGTTTTTCGTTTTTTTTTTCCTTGGTCACTCCTTGTTATCATTTTTGGTCTGCTTAGAGAACACATCATTTGGGCTAAGAAATCTAAACGCATAAACTTTTCATTATATATACTTTGAAAAGACAGCGGTTAGGTAGCGCCTGCCCATTCAAAAGAAGGCCGATTACTGATATCAAGGACAGAGCCAGTAGAGGGCGAAGCGTCAGAAACCCCCCCCCCACTCCCCCATGGAATCCTTTCCCTCCCTTACTTGTTCCCGATTCTGTAAAGTGGCTCATTTGATCTAAAATGTCCCGCGTCAGACATGACACCGGCCCTATATACCCGCACCTCGTGCACACCATCCTCTCCACTTCTGCATCCAGCTCTTCCCCCAGGAGCTTCTGAACCCTTCGTCCTAGACAAGGATGTCCATTGTGTTGTTTTAGGACCATTTCTTGAGAATATTGTGGGCTGAAATGCTAAAACACTTCAGAAGTACCACCACATCACACCGGTACCTATCAGAAACACTTTTTTGAAGATGGTTTTACATGCCAAAAAGCGCTCTTATTACAATTTCCTATAGGATACATAGGAGCCCTTCCTGACAGTCGAAATCGGCATGAATGGGTCCTCAAAAAATGAAACCCATTTAGAATTCTACTTGACAACAGTCGACGTCCCCAAAGAAATTAATGGTGGAAAACAAAATTTCCTAGGAATGAAGACATTACATCGGATGAGAGGCGTGGCTAGATTTTTCCGCACAACTTTTCAGGATATCGTAGTGGTCATACAGGCCGACCAGAAGACGAGATCAAGTGGGTGGCTAATCCGAGCGGGACCAGCTATATCGGCAACTTCTTGACGCTCGTTTTCTTAAGTTTTAATACCCAACAGTAAAAACTAACAGCGTTATCCAGTGAAAATTTGTGGAATGCCCATGAACCACTTTTGTCAGCTTCTCTGGGATTGCGAGTTCTTTCCTACGTGTTCATCGAGAGAAACTAATGTACCGGAGAAATGTCAGAAGCTGGGTCTCTCGAGTATTAGGCGGACCTTGCACGAAGTTGCTCCCACGGAAAGATATTGCCGTTGCTTTTCCACAGCCTGACCCCAGAAAGATGCCAGGAAATGTGAAGCACCGCCTTTATCCACCACAGCTAAACAAGCGGTCCTTCAGCTGTTAAAAGCCCTGCTAAGTGCATCATAGAACAGGTATTGAGGTCAAAAATATTGAAGGCTCGTCGCTGAGGCAATTCCTTCAGATTGGCGCGCACATCTACTACATTATCTATTTATTTGAAGCATGCAAAGATCACTATTCTGAGACTAAACTAGGACACCACCTAAAATAAAGAACAGGTGAACAGTTTCAAAATACCTACGACAAGAAAATACAAGGCATCCGTAACCACTTAAATAAGGCGTTAATTGTTACGCCAAGCTGATTGATCAACGGTTATTTTCGGTTAGCCGCGCACCAGCAATTGTTTTGGCTCCTTCAGACGAATCCAGTACAAAATTTCTGACGCGCAGTAACCGAGAGGTGTTTCTGCCTGGAGCGAAATTCGATCTAGAGACTATCATGCCCAAGGCTCGGTAAGTGGCGCCACTTACACCTCACCATTGCGCTCTGTTTAAATAATTCATAAAGTGAACCTTCTAAAGCAAGCAACCTACAACTAGAGCGGACGTTTACTCCGAAAAAGGACGCTAAGCAAGATAGGGCAGCATGAAAGTGACATGCATAAGACTCAACATACTTCTTACCAAGGAAGGTCTTTCAGGGTGTGCCAAGCTTTTTCAAAACGGTCTTTTGCATGATATAGGGAGGCAGATGCGGGAACCACAGAACCATGGTTAATTTTTCCTGAACGGCCCTCTGAATACCAGAAAAGGGCCCTCTAAATACCAGAAAAGGGGGTCCCTAGTCACACCTTTTTCACCAGTTTTTCAATCAAAGTCTATTTGTAAGGGTTACTGACGTTCCTAATCATGAATTATGGTACTAATTATTCATGCTAACTCCATTTTGCGCGAATTTGAAACGTCAACACGAAATGCAAAAAACTTGTCACCACGAGGAATCGAACTAGGGACCCCTTTTCTGGTATTCAGAGAGCCGTTCAGGAAAAATGAACCATGCTTCTGTGGTCCCCATATGTGCCCCAATGTCATGCAAGAAACCATTTTGAAAAAGCCTGGCACACCCTGAACGACCTCCCTTAGTGTAAACGGCACTAAGCTTAAGGTGGGGATTTATGATGTATTATCAGATATCCTTCTATATAACAAGTGTTAAGACAATTACAAAGCAAATTTCCGATAAGTAAGAAATAAAAAAAAGAAAAAAACAATCGAATAAGGGGCCGTGAGGGAAGGGAGTGGATAGTCAGTGCGGAAGGGCAGAGACTGCCAACACTGCGAGCTCCAAGTTGCGCTGAGGGTAGACTTCAGGGTGCGCGGACAAATTTTCCTTTTCCCAAGCTTCCTGACCCTCTACGGCTTGTCCCCAAAGATGTCTCATACTTGGATACGCCTAAAATATGGACAGTCAACTATCTTATTACCTTAAGGACCACGACGTGACTATACGGTTCAGGCTTGCGATTAACGTAAACGGAGAACGTGCACGGAAAGCCGGCTGCAAATGATCCGCCGCAATTCTCAAGGGTGGACACAAAGATGGGCGAAAACAGCAGCGATGTGTAATCTGTGATTTCTGGTGTGATACTCGCAACAATGGATGGGCGCCATGAATCACGGCGCCGTGCTATTGCGAGAGCTTCATCAACACTCTCAAAAAAACCGATCGTATTTTTGCTATGACAAATAGAGACGTATGGGAAAAGACAGAGAAGCTTGAGAATTTTTCTAGTTGAATTACATTTGAGAATGAGCCACGCACTTCTTCATTGGTCAGAATAGCAATGGCTTTGGAATGCGCGCCTTGCTTCTACATACACACAACCGGGTTCTGGTGGTCAAGTCATTTGATGCTAGTGACTTCTGAAGGTCCGAACCCTTGGGTTTTATCGAACAACCCTGTTAGAAAGCCATTCATCTCCAAGAAACGAAGACCTCAAATGGCCAGTGCGGGATTAGAACTTCAATACATTCACTTACAAGGTCCTAGAAGGAGACGCTGCTCGTGCTTTCGCTCTGCTGAGAGTGACCGTTAGTTATGGACAACTTGAACAAGTAATACTTCAGAAGGCCAAGAGGTGAAAATGACATTAGATGAGGAAGCTCAAGGTGAATTTTCTCAAAAAGCGAGCTGCAGTATAGCTGCGGTAACCATCGAAGATCGGGGCGGGATCCATCCTCGAAGGCCTCAAAGATCAGCCCAGCGACCACGTCGCTTGCTTTGTTTACGAGTAGAATTATTCGAGCCACATGGTTCCTCGCCGTTCAAAGTGAACAAAAGGTTGCTCGTGAAGCGGACAAAAGACTTCTTCGGGTGGAATTCCTTGAAAGGAACAGCGTGGGACGCATTTTCCAAGCTCTAGGATTTCAGTGCAAACATTGGCACGTAGTAAGGCTGAGTGTAGAATCTGAGACCTTCATTACCCAGTAGGAGCTCTCCCCAATCTGTTCTGGTAGATGTCTCAAGGTAGTTTTCTAAGTGAGTACGAATTTTATCAGAACTGGTCTCATATCCAAGGAAATAGCATGTCCACCTTTCTTAGCCACACAAGGACCACGAGCTCATTTTGATTGAGCCAACCTGCTAGGATTATCCAGGCCATGAG